GACTAGGAAGTGTGTCTCCTAGGGGTAAAACTTTAAAGACTCAAACTAGGAAGTGCATTACCTAGGAATGAACTTAAATGACCCAAACTAGGAAGTGCGTCACCTAGGGGTAAAATCTCAGCTTAGGAAGTGCGTCTCCTAAAACAAAAATAACCTAAAAGACCCAAACTAGGAAGTGTGTATCCTAGGGGTAAAATCTCAATTTAGGAAGTACGTCTCCTAAAACAAAATATAACCCGAAAAACCTAGACTAGAAAGTGCATCTCCTAGGGGTGAAACTTCAATGACTAAAACTAGGAAGTGCGTCTCTTAGGAATAAACTTAAATGACTTAAACTAGGAAGTGCATCTCCTAGGGGTGAATTTAAATGACCAACATTAGGAAGTGCGTCTCCTAAAATAAAAATATAACTTGAAATACCTAGACTAGGAAGTGCATCTCCTATGGGTAAAATCTCAATTTAGGAAGTGCGGCTCCTAAAACAAAATATAACTTGAAAGACTCAGACTAGGAAGTGCTTCTCCTGGGGTGATGTGTGATCTTCTCAATAGCCTTTGCGCAAGCAGAATTGGGGCATTACACCTGAAAAATTCAAGCTTTGTTATGAACATAGCCTTCATCCCTGTTTCAGACAAAGAAAACTTGTGAGATTAAAACACGGTGGTTAGTTTGTGGCCTTGACCTTGAAGGCGGCTGCTTCGGCACTTGCCAAGACAACTTTGATTTCAACTTGGAAGACCTTGCCTGTTATCGACTAACCATTTTCTTTCAACCCTTATCATAGAAAACACCTACGCTCCATTCAATCACAATATCTCTATTTGTTGCATTTTGCTCATGAATTGACATTTACCGAATCTTTGCATTTCTCATGAATCCCAAAGCATGTTGATTGTTACCAACTCAGTGTACATACTATTCTTTCCTGACTTATGCACCTTTGATGTGATAGCCAGACTCCGCTTTTTGTGCAATTGGAAAGCTGGTAGTAGATTTTGAAGTCATTTCTTTACTTGTTCTGACAAAACAGACTCCAGAGATCTTAAACAAAGCCAGAAGAACAGAGTTAATGGGAAAACAGAAAGAGATGACATATAACAAGAAAATCACTGAGTAGAAACTTGTCAGATGTAGATACCAACTCTAATGACTGTGACATGCATTTTGGCTTAAAGTGGCCTAATCTGTTAAGTAAGTCTAATGTTCAACGTTGGTTGTACCTCTAAGCTATGAAACTGGGATTCAACACTCCAATTGTCCCATTTGATCCACAATCCTCAGTCGACTTGTAGTGCCCTGAAGGGTTTTTACCATCAAGTCTCTCTCATTTTGCTATTTTTCCCAACTCACTGTCGCCTTACGGTGCCCATGAGGGTTTTCACCGATAAGACTCTCTCATTTATCATTTTCTCTCTTTGCGATGAGAACAAGGTATTACCCATGATGTAGGAAGATCATACTTTCACCACACACTTGATTTGCAATCCTCAAAGATTGGTCGGAAGGTCTTTCTTTGGACCGTAATGTAGGCTTTTGGATAGGGTTGGAAAGAAAGGGTGGCATGAAGTCTCGAAATAATTTAAGATGAAAGGGTTCAAAATTATAACTTTTGGAATCAGATCTTTTGGCAAGATTAAAACTTCTACCCTAGTTTCTTGAGTCTGGAGACTTTTTTTTATGGGATTTCTAAGAAAACTTGCGCCACTCTCGACTTTGGGGATTATGAAATATTTTATTTGGTGTGACCGAACCGTAAGGCTGCCTACGTATCTTGAGGTGTCAAGAATCAAGTCGAACGTAGTTCACACACAAAGTTGTTTTTTTTCCTTTTCTTTCTTTTCTTTTTTTTTCTCTTTTTCTTCTTCTTTTTCTCTTTTCTTTTTTCTTTTCTAGTTCCTAACTCTACTTCTAATTCCAAAAGAGGGGTATGAAACAAAATAAAGTAAGTCTCAAAAGGGGTAGCAAAGATAAATGTGTTTGGGTAGCAGTAAAGTGCCTTCGTCATACCAAACTTTAAAAATGCCAAGTATAAACATGAAATTGAAGATAAGCAAAGAAATCATACACATAATCTATTGATGGCCTCAAGACAAACACAAAGTGCCGATGGGCAATACCTTTGTCCCAACGAATGATCCTTGCCAGTTCGAAGCAGACTTGATTCAAACTTATCTTGATGTAAAATAATGCATTTCAGCACTGACTGATCTACCTCAAACTGCTTGAGAGACATTCCTTTGTTGTATGCTCTCATCAACCTCTTGATTTTCCAGACTAACTGCCTCAGTTTCACTCAATTCAAGCTTCAGGTTATCTCTGAATGCGTGAGTCTTTAATTGTTTCCTCAAACGCATCCTTTTATCATATTCAAAACTGTGCCATTGCTTTATAATTAGACTAGCTTTCAAGATCAGGCTGAGAATTATGCATGCATGTCATGTCACTAGAGTCGGCATGAAAAGAACTATAAAATAAAAAATGACCTAAACAAAAACTGACTAGAACTAATAGAAAATATGAGATTGCATTAAACATATGATGAAAAAGGTTTGAACAAGACGAACTAGAGAAAATGAGAAGAAGAAGAGTTTGAGCCACAAGACAATATCCGGATTACAACCCTGAAATAACCCGAACAAACAGAAAGACAACAAAATAAACCACCAAAACTCCTCTCTGGCTAGCCAAGAAAGGAGTGTCTTTCCAATTACCAAGCTCGACATCTTAGCCACTGGGTTGCCCATCAAAATTATTGGGACCTTCACTAATTTCAATATCATTAACTTCAGTCAGCAAGTTCCCAAGAGGATTTTCATGCTCCCTGTCACCATGCATCTTCCCCACAAAGTGTACATCATCATGTGCAAGTAAAGGATTCTGTGCAATGTTCTGGGTGTCACTGTCCTGGACCACAATTATCCCTTCTTGAATCATTCTTTCTATCTCCCTTTCAAAGCACGACAATCTTCAATGCTATGCCCTTGGACATTAGAGTGGTACATGCACCGTATAGTAGGATCAAAACCTTTTGCATATGGGTCTAGAGTATAGCCGAGCAGCGGCTCAATCAGGCCAAACTATTTTAACTTTTCAAACAAGCTTGTGTAGGATTCTCCGATTGGCATAAAATTATTTCTTTGCCTTTGTTCCCCTCTATGACCCTGTTTCCTAGGGTTATTGGGTGCTCGAAAATGTTGTAAAGGCGAAAGAATATTATGCGGTGCTGGTGCTCGCCATAAGGAGTGACTCAGTGGTTGGGCAGAGGATCGGACGTTGTTAGGGGAATAGTACTCAGGTGGATTATGTGGAGCTCGGAGATAGGTTTGGGGTTGGGGTCGGGGTCGAGGCTGAGTATATTGGTGAAGCGGACCCGTTTGTCCATGTCATGATCCTAAGACAACCATGGCAATATCATTATGTTCCTTCTGACCCAGCAAGCTTCCTATGTCGTTCTGAATTACTTGTGTTGTGGCTTTTAAGGCAGAATAGCTTATGATCTTGTTTGACTTCAGTCCCTCTCCACCATTTTTCCCATCTTTACCACATCATTGAAAGGCTTACCAATGGCTGAGATCAAATGGCCGAAGTAAGTAGGCTCCAGGGCTTGAAGAAAGTATTCAACCATATCATCTTCTTCCATCGGAGGATTGACCCGTGCAGCTTGCTCCCTCCATCGGAATACATATTCTCTAAAGCTTTCACTGGGCTTCTTTTCTACCTTAGTCAGGGACAGGCGATCCGGGACAATGTCTATGTTGTACTAAAAATGCCGAGCAAAGGCTTGAGCCAAATCGTCCCATGTGTACCACCTGCTGGCGTCCTGGCGATGTACCATTCTAGAGTTGCCCCACTCAGACTCTGGCTGAAGTACGCCATCAATAATTCGTCTTTTCCCTCGGCGCCTCTCATTTTACTACAATAACCTCTTAGATGAGCTACAAGATCCCCATGTCTGTTATACAAGTCAAACTTGGGCATCTTGAAACTGGCAGGTAGTTGAACATCAGCGAACAAATACAAATCTTTATAAGCCACACTCACATGGCTTCCTAACCCTTGCATATATCTCAATGATTGCTCCAAACTCTTTACCTTCCTAAATATCTCCTCTTGCTCCATGTTCTTGGGGGGTTTCTCAATTTCAACATGAGGCTCAAAGTGAGGAGTGTAGGAATAAGGATCTGGGACTTTTAAAGTAGGTTCCGGGGCATAGTATTGGGTATCTAGAGTTGGGAATGCGGTTGTTTTGGCTGGTGGAGTATAGAAAGTTTGGGAGGAAGTTCCAGGGTGTTGTGGGGAAAGATCAACGGTACTTGGCATCTGGGCTTGGGATAGTGGTGGAATGGAAGCAGGGTTTTCTGCATAGTTGGTAGGAAATGAAGGTGGAGGGTGTCCCTTAATCCAGGCTTGATATATTTCCGCCATCTGATGTTTCAACCTTCGGACCTCCTCTTTTAGTTCCGACTCTGATTCTACAATCTCCCTTGGTGGGTCTACAATTCATGTGTCCAAGTCTTTGCTAGTCATGGCTACCTTGTTCTTTGACCTTTTGTTGTCTGGATGAATCGCCAAAGTGCCACAAACTAACTACCCTCTGTTATGATAACAATGAAAGTAACAAAGGGGAGCAAAACAAAGCCAATATGTTAGCGTTAGGGAATTTATCAGATAGAAATATCACATCGCGTGCAATGCCGCTAGCAATAATTAACGGTTCTAGAATGGCTTCGAGGGTACGAAGGTCATATGGAATCATCCCAATTTTGTTCATTTCAATCTTCTCTTTTCTTTCTTTTCTAGCACTTCTTGGCTTGCTCATTTTTCTTTCTGATAAACACTCTTTTTCTTTCCTCTCACTTCCAACATCTACAATTTCATCTTTTTTTCTTTTTTCTTTTAGTTTAAAAAATGATTCGATCGAACCCTATGCAGGTTGCCTATGTATTATGTCCCTCATGAATCAGATCAAGCGTAGTTGTAAAAGTAATGGACAAAATAAATTAAGAAACAAAAATGTTTTTTGAATTTTTCATTTATAACCTTTTTTTTGGTTTTTCAAATACAAAACAGGAGGTACGATAATGAGAGACTCGGCAAACTAAACTATACTACGACAACTCTGACACCAACTAAATGATTGAATACTACTGTACAAGACAAGTAATAGAAAACATGAAAACAGACTTAAGCTCTTGAATGCAAAGGCTCCTTAAGCAGCTCTTGAATGCAATGGTCCTAGGGTATCAATCATGCTCGAGCTGTGGTAAATGAATCCATACATGAATGAGAAAAATAATACCAAATAGATTAGTGACTCGAGACACTATGTGAGACCACAACACCTTCTATTGGACACATGCAAGACATGATTGGGCTATTTTTGCAAAATGCCTACGTGGCCAATAGTGGCTAAAGATGTAAACTCAAAAAAAAGACGGACCTTAAAGTAATATGACACCTTGCAAGAATGGCCGATGTGGACAAAAGTGGCTAGACATGCAAATTCAACAGGAATGGACCTTAAAACCGAGAGGACACCTTGCTGTGGAATTAGGACTCTAAGACATTGGTTAACAAGTCACTTTGCGAAAATATTCCTATTTTGCAAAAACAGCCGATGTGGCCAAACGTGGCTAGACATGCAAGATTTGGCTAAGACCCCGCGAAGCCAAGAACCTAAGACTCACTAGGAAGACCGGACCCTATGTGGTCTGCCTACGTATCCCGCCCCGAAAGACGAGAATCAAGTATGCGTAGTTCGGGAAGATTGGACATGGGAGAAAGCTTTTTAAAAAATGCAACTAATTTGGAAAAACTATAGTTTTTGTCTTTTTGAAAAATGATGGAAAATGTAAAATCTTTTTGGATTTTCTTTTTCTCTTTTTTTGATAATTTTTTGAAAAATAAAGGAAAATTGCAAAATCTTTTTGAATTTTTCATTTTCATTTATTTTTTGTCTTTTTCTTGAAAAAGTTGTGAAAGAAAATCGTAACTGGGCCCTACTTGCTTCATTTTTATACTTCATCCACTTTCCCAAATATCAGTCCGCCAAATGACCTTTCTACCTTCAAAGATGCAACATGTATAATATAGGGATAATTGAATGTCTTTTTGGGCCACGAGCCCATTTTGACAAAATTTGGATAGACCTCCTACAAAGGGACACGATACCTGGGACCGAGCCCTGCTAGGTTTAATGACATGATGCAAATAAAAATGACCTAAAGGCAGACCTAAGTTTGGGGTTCACTAATAAGGCAAATCGGGGGAGCGTATTGTCGATGGTGGCTGCTCAAGCTTTCCACCCAC